TTCCCTGCATTTTATGCTTTTACTGTCAACAAGTACTGTACAGACAAGTTTAGGTACAGCTGAGACTGGTGGCCAGGTGGTGAATTCCGAAACAGCTCAAGTTTTGAATGCCTTCCGGGAGAGAACTTGACTGAGCAGAGAGGGAGGGCTGTAATTTCTCAGGCAAAGCATTAGCTGCCAAAGATGAGCTTCTGAGATATTTGGCTATTTATTTGATTGAGATATTTGTCTAATTAATAAAAAGGTGACCCTTGACCAATTCTGCTTTTAACTAATGACAGTGGATGACACCCCTTCACAATTCTAAAACCTCAAAATCAGTCTCTGTATTTTATGAGCAGTATCTTTCTCACTAAAGACTGGGAGAATATTTTGCCAGAAAAATACTCACACAAGAAGAAAAAAAATACCCTGTTGCAGGTTTCCTTTCACTCTTATCTGTGGCACAGCTTCAGAAGAGTACAAATGTTTGCTGCTTTCTGAGGTCCTGCTCTAGTTCGGTTTTTTTAAATGTCATTTTCTTGCCGCGTGCCAGCGAGCTCTCTTACAACTCCCTCGGTTAGCCAAATGTCATCTGTGTCCCACAGAGTAAAGTGTAATTGTGTATTTAAAAAGTGGGAAGGAGAAGTGAGGAAGAGAAAAGAGTGGCTGCTTTGCCTTTTAGTCTATTGGACAAGTACTCGAAATTCCTCACATTCTTCTCCTGTTAACAGTATGTTTACTTTTCATCACTGGGTTATTAGGATTAACAAAAGTCATTGCTTCAAGCTCATTTAATTTGAATTTAGTGAAAGCAAACTACCTCCTGCAGACTGTAGGAAGCATTCTTCTGCTGCAGAAATGTATTAATTTGCAAAAAGCAGCCACCAAAAAGCGGAGACTTGCCCAGTGTTCAACATCACCATGCATGCACTGCATTCTAATGAAGTACCTTATGTTGCAAATTCCAGGACAGTTTGAATAATCTGACAGTCTAATTAACATTTCAGTCTATCAAAGATTTGCTTTCAATGCCAAGAAGCTCTTTCTGTATATACTTTCTAGAGTGTGGGGGTGCAGACTGTGGACACCACTTCAAACATCATTTACCCAAAGAATTAGACTCTGCTTTCTAGTCCATTGCTGCATCTGCAGTAGAGCTTGTTTTAACTTCCACAGTATCTAAGAAGCCTCTTGCATTTGCTGTATGTTAAGCCTGTTGCCTGTCAGAATGCTCTACTAAGAGTAGTTAGGTAAATATTTCTTTATTAAATGATTAATTCCATAAATAAATTCTTTTAATTCATTGAATATAAAATTAAAATCATTTACAACTTATTCCAGTATTACAGGGGCTGGAAGGGGTAAAAAAAAAAAAGAAAAAAATAAAAACAAAACAAAAGCTACAGGTTGATAAATAAAATACTCAGCTTTAAAACAACTGATTTCTGTTTGCCATTAAACTACAGTTGGTACATAATAGCTGCCATTGTGGAACACCCCACAAGTGCCCACCTCAGGAAGGAATGTAACTTCCAACTTGGTTGGGAAAGGATGGGAGAAGATTGGAGGGATGGAGAGAAGCATAGTGTTAAATTGAACAGAATAGTAAAGTTTTCATAACCGGAACGAAACATTTATCTGATCACTTACAAACAGAAAACAGTATATAATTAGATAAGGTGCTCCAAAAAGAAGCAGTAAAATTGCTCCAGTACTATGAAGCTTTAAGTATGCTTAAATCTCTGTTGCATTAGTGTCCAGTTGCACAGTGCACTCCTGTAACATCTCAATGTTGCCCTCAAATGGGCAAGGCACCATTTCCATCAGAGGTCCTTTCTCCATGGCTGGTTACTTCAAAATTCTGTTTTGCATCCCACCCCCAACACAACTTAGTCCCTAAATTTATGGATGTCATTGACTAGTCTGTAGAAGGGATAAGCCTCATTTGCATGTGGACAGTTGTAGTTGCATCGGCAGGACTGGATCATCATGACACTCTTGGTGAAGGTTTCCCCATCATCGCAGCGGAACCTGACCTTGACAGTCCTGGTCTGCTGGGGTGTACAGCACCTGCCATCCACGCAGGAGCCACAGTACTTGGGGCGGTACTTCTTCACACTGGAACATCCGGCGTAAGTAAACTTCACTGGGGATGGGGACTTCCTAGTCTTGGTACATTTTTTTCCCTTCTGTAAAGTAAAGGCAATAACATTATTAGCAGGAGATTCTTCTCCAGCCTTTACCCCCTACCCGAAGCAGGTTAGAAAGAAAAGGAACACCAGAAGAGTCTGTATTTACCTTTAGGGAGGCATAGCTAGGCTGGCCACATGGCCTCACTTCACATATCCTGGTCTCTTTGATGAGCTTGCAGTCAGCATTGTCATTGGTCACCCTTGTGGAGATGCCAGTTCCACATGTCTTTGAGCACTGGGACCAAGAAGTTGTTTGCACAATGCATTTGGGATTCTCAAAAGCTCGGCTTTGTGGCTCGGATCCAAAAACTGGAAAAGAAAAGGAGGGCTTAGCCTAAATATATTCTCTCACTGTGTTTCTTTCTTTCCATTGGGGTCTAAGGAGTCATATAGCCACTCTCTGGCCTCCTCCCCTTAATGTCACGCAGATAAACTCACACTCACCAGGTAACATTTTCAGGCCTCCCTTCACAATGGCAATTAGCTCGTTGTTCCTGGTTAGTTCGCCTTCAGAATCATCCGGACCAAACTCTTTGCTGAAGAAGCCTTCCAGCTCCTCCAGCGCATCCTTGCTTTCGTCACAGACCCACTCCTCGCAGCACTGCCCGGGCACTTTGACCAGCCTGGGGCTGGGGCAGCCCAGGTTGGGAAGAGAGAGCTCCTGCGGGCAGAGCGGGATGCAGCCCACAGCTCCATCTATGCACGTACACTGGTGTTTACAGTTCGGCTGGAAGCTCTCCCCGTTCTGGTAGATTTTGGAGTTATATTCACACGGTCTTCCCTCGGACTGTGCTGCAGAGATCAACAGGGAGGGAAAGAAGAGAATCAGCGGCGGGAATCGCTGGTTTAAGCGCAGGTATTTGCTGGTCTGTTAAACTCAGTGTACAGCGGAGCTCCCTACAACCCCCCGGGGACGCGGGGCCAGAACAATAACTTAGTCAGGAATCACTTTTCCTTATGTGCGTTTAGCGGAGCCCAGACATACTGAATCGCATTCCAGACTGCTGAAGTCATGTGCCTTTCTGCCAAGCTACCGACAACAAAGCATAACCATACATGGGCTCGAAATTACCGAATCCCGGCAGTGCGGGACGCGGGGTCCGTCCCGGGGGAGCGGGGTCGCCGCTTACCTCTGCAGATGCCCTTCAGTGCGGCGGGGCTGGCCCCGAAGTTGCACTCCAGCCCCTTGGTGTGGTCGCAGGGCTGCGATCGGCTGCAGTCCTCGTTCAGCTGCTTGGCGCAGACCTTGCAGCAGCCGCAGCCGTCCGGCACCAGCCCCACGCCGGGGGCGCACTGCGGCGCGGCCGCCGGGCACTGGCACACGGCGGGGCAGGGCGAGCCCAGAGCCTGCGGAGCGGAGCGGAGCGCATGGTGAGCGCCGGCAGCGCAGCGGGGACACCCGACCCGCCTCCCCCTCCCCGGCCGCGGGAAGAGCCGCGGCACTTACCAGGCGGGCCAGGCAGAGGAGAGCGGCCGCCAGAGCGGGGCGGGTGCCCGCGGAGCCCATGTCCAGCGCCGGTGCAGCGGAGCCCGTGTGAGCGCAGAGCGGGAGCGCGGCCGGCGCGGTCTGAGGCGGCTCCGGGCGCCGCCGCCTTATATGGGGCGCGGGGCCGCCGCGTGCGCCGCGGCGCTGACGTCGCGCGTTCCGGGCCGCGGCCGCGTCCAGCGCTCGCGGCATCCCAGGAATGTGGCTGGCGCGCGCCGCGGCCGCCCCGCCCCGCCCCGGCTCCGGCACCGCGGCCAAGGCGGCGGCGCTGCCGCGGGGGGTCCCTCCGCCCCTGGACCCGACCGGCCGGGACACAGCGCGGGGGGCCGCGGAGGCCGCTCCCCATCCCGCGGACGCGGAGGGTCCCCGCGAACGGGAAGGTGGTAACGGGAGGCGCTGTTCGCGCTCGGGGCTGTGCCGGCGGCGCCCGGACACCTACGGGACAGCGGAGCTGCCCTGCCCGCCCCGGGCGCCCGCGGCGCTGCCCCTCAAATCACACTGCCCGGGGGGTCACCGGGGCTCGGGCCCTGGCGCTGCTGCCATGCGAGGGACAGTCACAACCCTTCCCCTTACGGCAGACCCCGGGAGCCTGGCTGTGCCCAGCGGCACCGAGAGGCCCGGTTTCCAGACCGGGAACGGGATGGCCACGCGGCGAACATCCTCCCTCCCCGTCAACCTGTGTATCTCCGGCCTCAGTGTCCCTCACTCAAGTTGGGTGCCCTTGAATAGTATTGCCTCGTTGAAGTTTAATATTTGGGGGTGGGGAGGAGAGATTTAGCTTCTGTTGTGGCGTCTTTTCTTTTCCTGGCTGTAAGTATTTCCAGATGGGATTTAGACCCCAGACGTAACAATATTTCCATATTTGGTATAGCAGTAGCCCGCATTTTTCACATTTTTCTGCTCTGTTATCCAACCACAAAGCATTCTTGACAGCTTCAGATGTTGTTAAATATAGCCTTAACTTCTGTTCCCAGGGCAGGAAATTCTTTGGAATTCCTGTTTTTCACGCAATCTGTCTATCATGATTTAGGAGAACTTTGCTGGAGGAGCCAACTGGTGTTCTACTGCAGTTCACTTCTTTATTGAAATAGCTCAGAAGTTGGGTCTGCTGCCCAAAGGCGTTACAATGAATCCCCATTCCAGGGATTTTTCTTTGCAAATGAGATTATTGTTCCCAACACAAGTTTGGGGTTTTTCTTGTCGCCTTCAAGGCTGGAAGGTGGAGAAGCGGATTCAAAGGAGAGGCGAAAGCTTGCAAAAACCCCTCCAAAGCCCATGAAAAGTGGAGGGGGAGGGGGCGAGGGGGACAGTGAGAAAGGAGGGATGCGGAGAGGAGGGATGTGATTAACCTGGCTGCGGCATTCCCATACAGCGGGTGTCCCTGCGTGCCGCCTGCCCGGGACGGGCAGCCGGGGAGGGAAGGCAGCCGCAGCCCCGCCACTCGGAGGAGCCGAGCCCGGACGTCTCGTCGCCTGCCCGGCGGCCGAAAGGATGACAGAAAGGACTGTTTCGTGGGGACGGTGCGTAGGGCTCCGGTAAGTGCCGCTCCCGGGGCCACGGGCCCGTGTGCTGTTCCCTGGGTGTTCCCACACCAGCGGTAACGATGAGGCACCTTGTCAGGCCCTGCTGGGGCCGCAGAAAGGAGAGTCCTTGTTGTTTGTCCGCGCCGGAAGCCCTGCGGTGCCTCCGCGGGCACCGGGAGGTCTCGCCTCTCCATCGCGCACCTGTCGCTGGCCCAGCCCCGGGGGGAGCGGCCCGGGGGGACAGCCCGGCTCGGCTCCCCAAACCCGCAGGCACCGCCGAGCTCCGTGGGCAGCACGGGGTCCCGGGGCAGGACCGGACTGTGTGGGATGGGACGGGATGGGGTGGGCGCTGCAGGATGGGGCAGCCTCTCCCCGCAGGGGGATGCCGCGACCCCGGGGACGGGGCGGTGCGATGGGCGTCACCGTCGCAGGGGACAGCGATGCCGCTGCCAGCCGGGCTGGGGAGCCTGGCCCCGAACTCCTCCTCAGGGATGTCCTGCACTGCCTGTGAAGGGCTCGTGTCCTCAGCACTGCTGTCCTTCTCCCCGGCAGTGGCCAGGCCCCTGCCTAGGCCAGTCTTGATAGAGGGTCCTAATTGTAGAGTTTTCCCTCCCTCCCCATTTTATCCTCTTAATGATTTTCTTTTCATTCCGGTAAATTGGATTGACGTTTTACTTTGTGGTGTATTAGGGAGTGGGGAAAGGTGATGGGACGGAAGCTCTGAGCACTCTTTGGCCAGAACACATGTGCTTCAGAAGGCAGCAGTGTTTTTCTTCATCACTTGTATGCCTCAAAATTCGACCAGAAAGGACAATTGCTGAAAGAGAAAACCAGTCTTTAGTTGCATGCAGCTCTCTCTGGAGACTGCCAATGTGTACCATGTAGCACCATTTCTGATGACAGGAACTATTTAATGTGTCCAGCAAGAATCCAAGAGAGACCACCAGCAAGCTTTGATGGCTGCCAGTAATGGCAGTAACAACTTTCCATCTCCACGTATTTAGCTGAGCCCCAGCTGGTGATGAGGAGTAGGACAGTCTCATTTCCAGACTCCAAGCTATCCGGTCCAGTGGTCTTCCCTTGGTTTCACAAGTGTATGGGTTTTCCTGTGGTACTTTAGTTTTAAAACCCTAAAGTGGTTTTTAGATGGGGAATCTGGCTGGTACTTTTTTCCCTGGATGACTCTTTACACAGCAGCATTATGATCAGGAGGAACAAATTTGTGATTCAACACACCTTGATTAATGAAAAAACACCTTGATTAATTTAAAAAATTTTGAAAAAGAAGAAGCTAAGACATCATTGCATGGTTAAATTGGCCAGTTTTGCTTTTCAGGGATTTATGCAAACACTTGTTTATTTAATTACATCTAATTTAAGGACACGCACCGAGCGCTTTGCTTTGATCTATGGCTTTCACAACATTCAGCAAATGCCACAGGAAAAGTCAATGAATAGCGCCTTTTCTCAGTTGGTTTCATGTCTTACCACACATTCACACAACTTTGATGGGAAACTGTAACTGGACCTACATTTGCTCAAGAAAAGGTCACTTCGAAAGCTTTGAAGCACCTTTTAACAAACCTGTCCTGAATTTCAAGTAGTTGTCAACACTTGAGACGGGTTGAGTTTCTTTGGAGTTCAGGTTAGACTGTGACCCTTTCCCTGCACAGGTTTCCCTGTCACAAACCATGACCCAGTGTTTACCCTCCAAGCTGTGGAGGGTAAACATCATGGGGTACACTTATGTCTACTTCTCCTGGATGTACATCAGGAAACAGGAAAAAGTTTGGGATATCTTCCTTTTTTAGATTTTGTTCAGTGTAATGTACTGTTCCAGACTTTTGTTGTTCTAAATAAACTGGGAAATACTCCCTGTTTCATGTCACAGAGAGTATTTTACTGGCTTCTCAATTTGTGCTATAGGCAGTTGCTGGGAGCTCAGCTAATGCAAAGCAGGAATTTGAAACTGTTGGCTTACATAGCAGGTATTACAGATTTACTGAGTATATCCTGTTATTTTCACAGGCCTGTGTCTCTCCAGGGAAGGGACTTTCCAGAGAAATAAATCAAGAAAAAATAACTGGTTTAATTTCCCTCCACCTAGCATCGTTTTTTCCCGGCTGTGCATAGGAACCTTGGAGCAGCATGAAGGGCTGTGTGGGACAGAGGCTCCTCCGGGTGCTGGTGCTCCCACTGACAGTAAGTATCCAGCACCAAACTGGAGCACATCAGAGGTTTACAACCGTGTGGATTCTGGAGAAAGATTTTACTAAATCCAGTGTCCAGCCCTTTTTTGTATTGTGTTTAATTTCCTCTTTCTCATTCTCTTTTTCCTTTGCCATCTATTGCTGTGTGCTTCTTTCATCTCTCCTACTCTTTCTTCTCTTTTTCCCTGCTCCAGTCTTTTCCCTGTGTCCTTCCCTCTTCTAGTGTGTCCTGGTTTTGTCTGTGATAAAGTTAATTTTCTTCCTAGTAGGTGGTATGGTGCTGTGTTTTGGATTTAGGATGAGAGTAATGTTGATAGCACACTGATGTTTTAGTTGTTGCTGAGCAGTGCTTACACTAAGTTGAGGACTTTTCAGCTCCCCACACCACCGCACCAATGAGTGGGCAGGGGAGCACAAGAAGCTGGAAGAAGACACAGATGGGACAGCTGATCCCAACTGGACAAAGGGATACTCCATATCATATGACACTTAGTATACAAAATAGGGAGAAGCTGGCCAGGGGCCAGCTCTCCAGAACTGTCTGGACACCGGTCAGTGGGTGGTAGGAGATTGCATTGGGCATCACTTGTGTTGTATGTTCCAATTATTTTATCATTTATTATTATTGTTGTTGTTGTTGTTTATGATTATAGTTGTTATGCTTATTGTTGTTATTATTGTTGTTGTTGTTATTATTCCTCCTTCCTTTTCTGTTCTATTAAACTGCCTTTATCTAAACCCATGAATTTTATTTTTCTTCCCAGTTCTCTCCCCCATCCCGTTGCAGGGGGAGGGAAGGGGCAGTCAGTGAGTGTCTCTGTGGTGTTTAGCTGCCTGCTGGGTTAAACCACGACAGTGTTTACCTACCTTGGGCTGGGCCTCTCCTGCAGCCCCTGCCAGGCCACTAGTTCCTGCTGCACTAAATCAGTCCTCCCAGAGTCAATGGCTCCTCTCAGTCACTCACAGGAGGTGCAAATCCAGTGGGACAAATTAAGCATAGCAATGCACAGGCAGAGCAGCCAAGTAGCCAGAAGGCTTCGGCAGCTAAAATTCAAGTGGGTTCAGAAGTTTTTCCTTGCTTTGATTTGCTCAGAGTTTATGCTGAATTCTTTTGAGTAAGGCATTTCCTATTTGTTTTCTTCCTCTTCCTTGCTGCCCTCCCTTCAGCTATGCTCATGCCTGTCAGTTTTTGTACAGTCTGTGCCTTGCCTGTGGTTTCCAATATTTGGGGGATTTTGCTTGGCAGTATTTGTGCACTGAGAGGCACTGTGTTTTGTAGGTGTGCTGTACTTTCCTCTGGCTGCTGTCAAGGTGTTGTAGAGATTCCCAGTGTGTGGAAGTGCAAGGGGGACTTGTGAGCCTACGCACCCTGCAGGGAAACAGAGAAGGAAAATTTGTTGTAGTATTCATCTGTGCTGTTTGCTGCTTTGACATGTGAACTGCAACTTACGTAGATGTAAGGGACATAGCAATGTAACAGAGGCAGGAAGCATCCATGCTGACAGTCGCGGTTGGCATGTTCTTGTTGGACACCGACAGGCAGTACGTACTGCATGGCTTCCCCTCCCCAGGCCGGATGCAGAAATGTGGAGCAGTTACAGCCAGTTCCTGCTTAGTTCCTTCTTACCAGTCAGAGGCTCAAAATACCTTGGTCATGGTCATTCAAGGGTCTGACATTAACTTTATTTTAGTACCAGCCACTACCATTTCCTTAGTGAGACGGGTAGATTACTTAACACATGTTCACCTACTCTCATGCAGGTCTACTTCAACACTAGACTACGTAGAGAAGATGCAGTTTGCACCAAGTGCATCCCTATAACTTAAATTTGCAATGGAAAGACCTATTATGGGCTTTGGCTCTCAATATCACAAAATAAAAATAATCGGGTGGTCCTAGGTAGCACCTGGCTGCACATGGATCTTCTTATTTATGTCTATTGTTTTCATCCCATGCAGTCATGAAGCTTGCAGAAGATAAAAATGTAGCCTGTAATCTCTTTATAAATTCTAGAAAAAAATTCACAGCTGTGTCTCATGACTTTCATGAAGGAGGCTGAAGCATCAGAGGCATACAAAGTTCTTTCCCAGAATACATTGAGATGAAGGCCCTGGAGAATCTCACCCCAGAGAGTTAATCATCCCAAGTGACCTCAGTAAAAACTTCTTAACTTTAAACCTTGGTCCTCAGAGTGCAGGCTTTCCTAGTGGAGCAATGCATGTGAACTGACATCTGCAAAGACAAAATGAGCAAGCTCAGGAGATAATTGCTCATGATCCTAAGGAGTTACTGGAGCCAGATGAACCTGAGATTGCAGTCAACTGGGCTGTGCCTCAGGAATCCTTGATCAAATCACACTTCCAGGCTGTGGTCCATAATGGTTGTCAGCTGCTGCCTTAGTCTACAGCTTCACTGCGCCTTGGAGACAACCACCTCCTGCTTTTATCTGTGTCGACTGCCCAGAATATGCTCTCTTTGGTAGGTTCAGATTTGTTTGTTTTCTTTTTCTGTATTTCTGTATCCATTTTCATATATTTGAAATATATGGCAAACTTGTTTTTTCCCAAGATGTTTTGTTTCATTATATTTTTTAATCACAGCTACTTTTACTTAAGCTTAGTCTGTGTCAAAGCTTGGGGAACCCTCTGCCTTCCTGCTGATGCTTTCCCTCCCTCCCCGCTGTTTGTGACCTGATGAAATAGTCTGCTGTCACTAATCTAAGATCATTCAAAGGAGTTGCCTAGTCTTTGATTTTAATAGCATATTTTTGTAGCTATTTTCTTGAAAAAAGAAAAGAGTGTTGATTTTTTTTTTTTTGCATGCGAATAGGAGAGTAGGCCTGCTCTGGCAGGATGCTGAACATGCTCTGCCACACAGTGCTTTCTGTCACTTACTGCACTTTCCAGGCTAGCTGCTGGAAATGTCACAGGATTAATTTCCGAATCCCCCGAGGTGCCTGTTGGCTTTGTCCAAAATCATTACTCATTCTCTGCTATGTACACAAGCTTACTAAAACATGGTGAGACCTTAGTTGTGTTTTCTGCGTTACTGTTCATTTCCATTCTGTTCCATCTGGGCTCTTACCTTTGCCTACCAGTGTGTTATGTGAGTGCCTTGCAGCAGCAGCTAGCCACGTTCTTGTGCATGCTTATTTCATGGCACACATGAGCTAAGTGATACCAGAAAACCAGCCACAACCTCCTCCAGGGATGTTCCGCTGCTGGACGTCAGTTGTGCCTCTTGGTTCTAGTCTGTGACAGTGCAGTGAAAAAATCAATAGCAGACAAATAAGTAGACACGATGTCATCCTTGCACATAGGGAGGACTTGCAGGCAGCCAGCAGATCATGTATGTGCTCAAAGAATGCTTGTGGAGATGGAGTTATGGTCCAAGAATGTGCAAATAGCTGCCCGTCGCAGCATTACGTGCCTGTGATCAGGGAGAAGTGCTGAACCATCTCTAGACTTAATTAGCATCCAAACTGAAAATATTTGTCTCATTGAGGGTGATTTTTTTAGGTGAGCAAAGAAGAAACTACATGAATTAAATCTTTTGTTTACCTTATCTCTGCTGGGGGCTAAAATAAAACTGGAGAAGAGCCGGCTGTTAAGAACTGGTGGGCTGTTCTGAGGAAGGGTCATCACATGGGCTCCATCCAGCAGCAGTAAGTGAGAAGCACAGTGGCTTGTTTAGACCTTGGGGAGAAGGACATCTCTTTGAGCCAGCCAGGAAGCCTGTCTGCTGCCCACTGTTTTCCCATGGACCAGTGTCCTCAGGAAGTATAAGGTTAGCAGGGGCTATCAGCAGACTACTTTGGTGCAGAGACTTTTTTGTGATTGCATTAATGTCTCTTTTCCTGTTGTTGTACAGAAATTATGACTGCTAGTATCGGTGTTGAGATGAAAGCAGAAGCTCTTCTGCATAAGCAAGCATTAAAAGCTAGCTGATACATTAATTGTAAAAGAAAGTTGGTGCTAGCTGGTGGCTCTTTACTTTCAGATAAGTTTGCTTTTGTCTTTTAATTCTTTTAACACTTCACCCAACTGTATTCTTTCACATACAGGCAACTCTGTGTTTGTTACTCTCCTCTCTCACTGCCTAACTTGGAATCTGCTTCTGAAACCCTCCATTAGCTCAGATTTCAGACTTTAGCATAATTTGGGATCAGGGCAGAAAAATGGTGGATAGGATGGGTCTTCCAGGTGAGCACTGTGTGATAACACAATGTTTGTAACGTGTTGTGAGGGGAGAGCCTCTGGTTTCAAGGATGTACCCATGTGGCCTTTAACAGTGCCATGTCAAAAAAACCCCATTGATTAAAAGTGTGCCTCACTTGTGCTGCTAAAAACACTTCTAGATTATACATGCTGAAAACAGTAAATATTTAATGTACAGGTTTACTTTTCCTGCTTTATAGAGAGCTCAGTAGGCCTGACAGAGCAGCTAGACAGATGTGTTTATAGCGCGCTCCCCGGGCAGGCACAATGCTGCAGTGTTTGGCCTGTGAGCACTGCAGGGACATGCTTAAAAAAATAAAAGTGTTCCATTTACATTGGGGGAGAAAAAAATCCTGAGAATGTTTCTATTAATATTAGCTGGTATAAAATCCCAAATTCTACATTTCAGGCCTTGCATATTTCAAAAATAGAGGGCTAGATGGTGGGGATGTGGGGTAAGAAGTGTTTCCTTGCTTATGTAGCCAGTGAAAGGGACAGTCATGGTGGTAGTTCTTCTGGCAGGAGAAGACAGTTGTTGCTGAAATGCCCCTGATAAAGGTGGTGTGTGAAATGAAGAGTTCAGGAGCGAGCAGAGCAGGGCAGCAATACCTGTGCATGAAGCATGTGTAGGTGGGAGCACAGGTCAGTGTGTGATGCTTGTGGTTTTCCATGGACAAGGAGCTGGTTCTCAGAACCACATCTGAGATCCTGGATGTTTATCAGAGGGCATGTTTCTAAAAGGTGAGAGGGACCAGATGCTGTGGGGAAAGCAAAATGTGCACAGATCTTTCCACCTGGTAGGATGGACACACCTCCCACACACGTGAGATGCTGACAGAAATAGTGGGAAACCCACTATTACATTAAGGGTTAGGTTTTTTTCATGGTTTTGACCTTGGTTGAGGTCTTATCTGAGGACTAGCTTCTCTTCAATTATACTGACATTAAGGCTGATTTATCTGGTTGAAATTAATGGCATAAATTAATTGGGACACATTAATTAACTGAAACAACTGACATTTGGGTTTCTGGAGAGCTCCCAAGGAATGAGTGGCTGCATCTGCCTCTCTCTGATTTCCTCAGAAGTTATGCTCAGTTGAGAAGTGAGTTTACTTGAATAATCTGATTAGATAGTTGGCAGCTCTTGAAGAAAAAAAATAACTTTTAAAAGGGGATCTTGGGATGATTAATTCCTCAGGAAAGTTTTCTGATGAAGAAAAGTAGAGTAAGGAAGCAGAAGACTGTATTGGGGCTGGCTAAGCACTCCATGTTGTTAAATTAAATCTATATCTCTATAAAAAAATTAATAGTCATGTGAGTGTGTGTGAATAAAGCGAGAAGTCTTGGTGAGGTGGTTTTACTTTCTCACCAGCTTTACCTGCAACAGACATCTTTCCCTGACTGCAGGTGACCTGCCGTCCTGGGCAGGGGATGGGGCCATCCCGTGAGTACCTGTTCAGTGCAGGATCCTGCTGAAAGCAGCTCAGCACCTCTCCTTACTGGAGCCTTCAGCACAGGGGTGAGGGGCTGCCTTGGCCTTCGAGCCACCGGCTGCATTTCCCTTGCCTGCCAGCTCCTTTTTGGACAAGAGTGATGCAGAGACCACCCCATTGCACAGGGGAACATCAGGAAAGGAGGATGCTGAGAGAAAGAGGTCCTTTGCTGAGCACTGGCATTGCCACAGCAGCACTCAGGATCATTGCACATCCAGGAGAAGGGGCAGAATAACACAACCTTTTCTTTGCAAGCTGAACTACAGGCCATTTTTCAATATGGCCCATTTGCACCTCTTTATTGTGTATTAGTTGTGAGCTATGACTCAAGTGAACCAAGCCATCCTGGACCCAAACTGAGATTCACTGATTCCAGCAGTCATGCTGGCCTGAGGCACCCTGCTTGGCTGTGGCTGCTCCCTGGTGCCCCATTCCCTGCGTTTATGACTCCTCATCTCCTTGCTGCTGGAGTGGCACACAGGGCTGCAGTAAAGCAAAGGCTCCGTCCTGGGCCTCCCAGGGGTAGCAAACAGCACATTAACCCACTGTGCGACCTGGCAAGGACTTGTGACTCTCTGGGGTTTATGGCAGGATACCCTTGCCCGAATATCACACGTTTAGGAGACTACACAGTTGATACACAGTCAGCTCCTGAAGGGCAGCTGGCATGGTGACAGTAGCCTTAGAAAATGAACTAATTGTCAGCTCCAGTCTGGATGTCACCATCGTTTTAATGCGAATGGACTTTTTCCTCAGCCAACCTTCTGTCTGAATGGGGAGCACAGAAACATCCCAATATTTATGAGATTTTAACTAGATTAGTTACAAACCCATAAAGCAAAGAAAGAGACAGTTCATCCAGTACTGGGGAGGGGAGTGTTAAAAATGCCACCTCAGATAAAATATTATGGGAGTTGAGTAACTGTAAATAAGAACTTTGCCTATGAAATAGCTTCTTATGTGAGCTTGGGATGAGGGCCAAGAGAATGTCTAGGGCTCAGGGAAATTTATTAGCCCAGATCAACAGGATTTCAGGGACTCAGGAGATGGGGTGGCAAAGAATTTGCCTGTTGGAGTCTGTACTTCCTCCATTCATGCCTGCAGCAGGAGTTTCACTTATAAAACTTTCAAGATGGTTCATTTGCATTTTTTGAATTTTCTCGGTTCTCATTAGCAACTGCGGTTCTGACCTGGAACTTGGGAGAGCTGGGTTCAAGTTCTGGGTTTCCACAGCCTGCCAGCATGGTCTTGAACAAGTCACTCACCTCCCTGTGCTTCAATGTGTCTCTGTAGGCAGGAGATAAATGTTATTTCCTGACTCACAGGGATCTCAGGACAGTGTGCTAAGGACTAGGAAGCATTCAGGTACCTGAACCATAAGTGAGAGTACTACGGGTGCTTGTGAATGATAAGAGCATATGCAGAGCAGCTACAGTAAACATGATGACTCCTCTCAAGGGGAGGAATGGTATTTTGGTGGGGACCAATGGGTCTTCCCTTTGATCCCATTTATTTTAGTTACTGCCACAGTTTTCCTTATTCAAGCGCCTTTGTTTTATACCCTCTGCCAGTGCAAAGCTGGCTGTCCTGATAGGGTCAATGGTGTCCTGATGATATCAGGGTCATCTTGGCTATGCATTTATTTTTAAAAAGGGCACATGTACATCCATAGTGCACAATTTGGGAACCCACCACCTTTTGTCCCCCGATATTTCATCTCTCCTTCCCATTTACACCCTTCTGCTCTT